ATTTTGGGGATTTTTTGGGGGGAATTTGGGGATTTTTTTGGAGGGGATTTGAGGGATTTTGGGTCTGATTTTGGGTATTTTTTGGGTCTGATTTTGTGTATTTTTGGGGGGATTTTGGGGGATTTTTTGGGGATTTTTTGGGTATTTTTTGGGTCTGATTTTGGGTATTTTTGGGGCTCCCCCCCAGACATCATCCACAAGTTTATCCGGGATAAATATTCCAAGAGATTCCCGGAGCTGGAGTCGCTGGTTCCCAACGCCCTGGATTACATCCGCACCGTCAAGGTGGGTGGGGACACCAAAACACCCGAAAACACCCCAAAAACAACCCAGAAACACCCAAAAACACACAAAAACACCCCAAAAACAACCCAGAAACATCCAAAAACACCCAGAAACACCCAAAAACACCCCAAAAACACCCTAAAACACCCTGAAAACACCCAAAAATACCCCAAAAACATCCAAAAACACCTCAAAACACAAAAAACACCCAAAACCACTTCAAAAACACCCAAAATATCCCAAAAACTGCCCAAAAACACCCAAAACCACCCCAAAACCATCCAAAAACACCCCAAAAACACCCAAAAAACACCCCAGAAACACCCAAAAACACCCAATAAACACCCCATAAACATCCAAAAACATCCAAAAACACCCCGAACCACCCAAAAACACCCCAAAACACCCTAAAAACACCCAAAAATACCCCAAAATCATCCAAAAACACTGAAAAACACCCCAAAAACACACAAAAACACCCCAAAAACAACCCAGAAAACACCCAAAAATACCCCAAAATCATCCAAAAACACTGAAAAACACCCCAAAAACACACAAAAACACCCCAAAAACAACCCAGAAACACCCAAAACCACCCCAGAAACACCCCAAAAACACACAAAAACACCCCAAAGTACCCCAAAATATCCCAAAATGTCCCCAAAACCACCCAAAAACCCCTCAAAAACACCCAAAAACACCCCAAAAACATCCAAAAACACACAGAAACACCCCAAAACCACCCAAAAGCACCCCAAAGTACCCCAAAATATCCCAAAATGTCCCAAAATGTCCCAAAATATCCCAAAATATCCCAAATCTCAGGTTTTTTTGGGGTTGAATTTTGGGTTTCTTTAACTCCCAAATTTTTTTGGGTTAAATTTTGGGTTTTTTTTTAAATCCCAGATTTTTTTGGGGGTCGAATTTTGGGGTTTTTCTTTAACTCCCAAATTTTTTTTGGGTTGAATTTGGGGTTTTTTTGATTCCCAATTTTTTTTTTTTTGGTGGAATTTTGGGGTTTTTTTAACTCCCAGATTTTTTTGGTTTTTTTTTTTTGGTGGAATTTTGGGGTTTTTTTAACTCCCAGATTTTTTTGGGTTAAATTTTGGGGTTTTTTTAAATCCCAGATTTTTTTGGGGTCGAATTTTGGGTTTTTTTCCCTTTCCCAGATTTTTTTCCGTTTATTTTTTAACCCCTCCCTGATTTTTGTTTTTTGGGTGGAATTTTGGGGTTTTTCTTTAACTCCCAAATTTTTTTTTTAGTTGAATTTTGGGGTTTTTTTAAATCCCAGATTTTTTTGGGGTGGAATTTTGGGGGTTTTTTTTATTCCCAGATTTTTTTGGGGGTTGAATTTTGGGTTTTTTTAAATCCCAAATTTTTTTGGGTTAAATTTTGGGGTTTTTTTGATTCCAAATTTTTTTTTTTTGGGTGGAATTTTGGGGTTTTTTTGATTCCCAAATTTTTTTTTGGGTTGAATTTGGGGTTTTTTTAACTCCCAGATTTTTTTTGGGGTGGAATTTTGGGGTTTTTTTTTCCCTTTCCCAGATTTTTTTTCCATTTATTTTTTTACCTTTCCCTGATTTTTGTTTTTTGGGTGGAATTTTGGGGTTTTTCTTTAACTCCCAAATTTTTTTTTTAGTTGAATTTTGGGGTTTTTTTAAATCCCAGATTTTTTTGGGTTAAATTTTGGGGTTTTTCTTTAACTCCCAGATTTTTTTTGGTGGAATTTTGGGGTTTTTCTTTAACTCCCAAATTTTTTTTGGGTTGAATTTGGGGTTTTTTTAAATCCCAGATTTTTTTGGGGTGGAATTTTGGGGGTTTTTTTTATTCCCAGATTTTTTTGGGGGTTGAATTTTGGGTTTTTTTAAATCCCAAATTTTTTTGGGTTAAATTTTGGGGTTTTTTTGATTCCAAATTTTTTTTTTTTGGGTGGAATTTTGGGGTTTTTTTGATTCCCAAATTTTTTTTTGGGTTGAATTTTGGGGTTTTTTTAATTCCCAAATTTTTTTGGGTGGAATTTTGAGGGTTTTTTTCCCCTTTCCCAGATTTTTTTTCCGTTTATTTTTTTACCCCTCCCTGATTTTTGTTTTTTTGGGTTGAATTCCGCAGGAATTGGGCAATTCCCTGGATAAATGCAAGAACAACGAGAACGTTCAGCAGATCCTGACCAACGCCACCATCATGGTCGTCAGCGTCACCGCCTCCACCACCCAGGGGTCGCCAAAATCCCGGAATTCCGGGAATTCTGGGGGGATTTCGGGGACTTGGGGGATTTGGGGGATTTTTGGGAATTTTTGGGAATTTTTTTGGGATTTTAGGAGGAATTTTTGGGGATTTTTTGGGGATTTTTTGGG